ACCGGAGTGAAATGGAAGGGTCTCGCTCTGGGAGAATTTTGTATGAATTTTCGTAAATATAAATTCTTTTTATTTTGGGGTGAATTAATATTTTGGGTGAAGTAACAAAGAAATCCCTTTTTGCCTTGTTTATCGAGGTGAGTGCGGATGCAGACCCCACACTTAGAAATAGCGCTCCCGAGTCGCTCACATTTTGAGCCATCACAAAGGTCAACTTAAACCAACCGGTAAAGGAGAATTTGGTTTGAATTTTAGTAAATATAAACTCTTTTTATTTTGAGGTGAATTAATATTTTGGGATGAATTAACAGAAAAGATCACTTTATTTATGAGTTGGGGAGGATAGTCAGGGAGAAAATGACCCGGGGTCAGAAAAGGTATTCTTATTCCTATTCTTAAGTATAATGAATGAGGCAAACACTGTGACTAGAAAGTCACTTTTACATATTTAGATATATCCTGAATCGAAGACCATCTTAGAAGACTGAATTACGAGACGTGAAGGTATCTTTAAATGGCCTCCACCTGCAAATGATAAAAGATGGTCAGTATCTGAGATTATTCAGAATAAACTTCATGAATTTTCTCAACCAAAGGAACAAATGTTGACGTTTCAGTAAAGAAGACAGGCAAGCAGAGAGAACAAAAGTTCAACTGCCATCAACAATTATCTCAGTGAATGGTTGGATACGAAACGAATATGTAGCGGATGGGCTTCCTTAAAAATGGAAAATAGAATCTAGCTTGCTGCCTGTTCTTCGTGGCTGAGCGGTAAAGCACACTGGATTAAAAAAAATGGTTTCTCCTAGAAACGGGGACGCAGTTTCGAGGTACGTCATTTTTTAACTACAGATATTTTGTACATAATTTTTAACTTTCAGAGTAAAGGTGTATTTAGATATACATTTAGTATATCATAAAATGTATTGTTGGTGATTTTAATATAAAAAATATATTTTGATATTTTTCAGTGTTGCATTACCTTGCCATAAATACGTATTGTCGGTCATTTTATTATAAAATGTACTGTTTATTTTTGTTTGGGGTTCAATATTTGCCCATAGCTGGGACCCTAACGGATGCTTCTACCCCGGGTCAGTGTGAACCTGGGAATAATAGCAATTAAGAGGTGTTTCCACGCTCTTCAAAATCTCCCGATCCGAGGCGTTGTTACCGGATGTAGTTTATCGCACCAGATACTTCAATGTTCCGATATGTTAGGGATTCAAAGAATTTTGATACCATTCTCAAAGACTCAACAACGAAATGGAATATTGTCCTGGGGAGCCACATTCTACTGATTTCTATTTTGAGCTATTTGCATTTACTCAGTTTCTCAAACCATGTTTCCGTGATGTTTCCTTTTGCCAATTCTTGCCTTCAATGTCTTGTGAGTGTCAAATTCTCCAAGTCCTCTTTTCTCATTACTTGTCCCAGAATATTTTTACTTTTTATTTCGAAGTACAAATGTTCTTTTTGTTCACATTTTCCTGTGTGATTTAATTTCCAAAGAGAGACGCAAATTCGAGACTTTTTCGTAAAATATAGGGATTCTATAAGTTTCGTTAAAATTGAGTGATTTTATATTTTTTTTTTACTCAACTAGCAGTATAATCAGTCTTCGACGGGGTGTTTCATTAATAGGAAGTTTTGACGTCCATTTAGAGCAGTTTAAGTTTAAAGACAGCCCACCCGGAAATCAAAATTAGTATCAAGAATTAGGTGCGAATGAGGCACATACCCCAAAGGGGGGGGTAACAATTTGAATGGCAATGGGAGGGGGTCCTGAAAAGGGCCGATTTCGGGTTCTCAATTTTACAAGGATGGAACCTTTTCCATGGACCATTATAGTAATAATATACGATAATTTTTATTCATAACATCATTATTTTTATAATTCTAATAATCTTTTGCGTTAAATTTTCTCTAAACTGATTGTACTTTTTTTTTTACAGACATTAAATTTTGCCTTTGATTTTTGTGTAAAATGTAAAAAATCAGTTTTTTCGATTTTTAACCTTCAAGGTTGCAATTTTTTTTTTCCAGCCAATTTGGACTCAAAACCAGCACTGAAAAATTATCTATCAGACGAAAAAAAATTCATTGAAATCGGATGAAAACTATGGAAACGCATAAACATCCGAACACACACACATTTTGAGAATTATAGATATAGATTTAATTTCATAAAATATCTCATTATTTAAAACAATTACATTTAATATATCATGAAGTGAAAATGATGAGCTATTAATCCAAAAGTCTTCTAGATATATCGTCATCGTTGGCTTTATCTCGTAGCCATGAATTGAATTTCTTCATTTCTGGTCGCTTCCTTTATGGCATTGATGATTAAATAGACCGATTTCTTGCGTGATAATGTCGATGGTATTGACTACATAGGAATCTTGGGGGAAGACAATGTCGATTTTATTGAGCCTCTCTTTCACGTCGTTTATTTTTTCCTTTTTTCTTCTAGTACCTTCGAAGATTTTGGTTCCGACGTTCATGGATCATTACCAGCTGTTACGGTCATATACTTGTGTTCGATTGATTTAGTCTCATATCCAGAACCTTTCAGTGTTTTGTATATCTGAAGAGGGCAACAACGTGTTCTGTTCCATGAAGTGAGCTCGCTGAATAAGATTTAACACAGAAACATTTATTATATAATTTTTGCTATATATCCTGATCATCGAAGACGGTATTTCTGTTAGCTCTTCCCAGGACTTTGGTGTTGGTCAGATAGTATTCCATTTGATGTTCAAATTTTGCTGGTGTAAGGGTTCTTTTTGGATGTCACGTTGATATAGGGTCCAGGTTTTGCAGCCATATAGCAAAGTTGAATTTATAAACCATAATTTTTAAGTTCAAATCTTTGTTGTTGAAGATGCGTTTGATTAAACGAAGTTTTTGCTGGTGTAAATGTTTTTACTTTTTGGATGTCACGTTGATATAGAGTCCAGGTTTTGCAGCCATATAGCAAAGTTGAATTTATAAACAATAATTTTTATTAAGTTCAAATCTTTGTTGTTGAAGATGCGTTTGATTAGCTTTCCAAATACCTCGTGTGAAGCTCCAGTTTTGTATTCCATATCCTTTCCTGAGGTGTACTTGATAAAAGGCTTCCTAGATATGGAAAATGCATTACTTGTCTGAGAAGTGTACCAGAGAAGGAAATATCAAAATTTAGTAACATGGTATTTGGAAATGGCTGTGCAAAGACTTTGGTTTTCTTGATGTTTGCTCTAAAGCCAAAAGGATGTTAAGCCATCGCAGAGTCTTTCACAATCTATTGGAGTTCTTTTGAGGGCATCATTCTCATCAGCATATTGAAATTCGGACATGTGTTGCGTGTGTGTTAGACGTTCAAAAACACCATGTATAGGATTTGTTTATTTGCTGCGATGTATATTAAAGTTGTTTGATCATCTAATGATGATCATTCTAATGATGCCTCGGTAATAAAAATTGCTCAGATTTCGGTAATTTTCCCTACAGGGATGGGATTTTTTGATAGTTTTGAAAATATTGATTTTTGCAACAGCTGTATTCGGATGAATGCCTCTGTTATTAATTATATTCATACAAATATATCACTTAAAATTCTTTCTGAAGGTTACTAATCCTGTGTATGAAGATTAACCTAGATAAAGCAACAAGGCCTCTGATCAGGAGATTGGAGATTTTGAGGCGCGTGGAAACACCTGTTAATTGCTGCTGTTCCCAAATCCACCCTGACCCGTGGTGGTAGCACCTGTTAGAGCCCCGGCTATAGGCAAACAGTGAACTCACAAACAAAAACAGAACACTATGAAAGTATAAAAATACATTTTATAGTAAAAATACCAGCAATATATTTTTATATAAAAATTACCAACAATACATTTTATATATACTTGGGGGAGGGGATACAATTGCGTTCACAATATACTTCGTTGAAGCCTTAAAATTGTGTTCAAAATATTTATATTTCAACATTAAATAACCCATAGAGGTGTTGATATGCCTAAAAAATAAACCAAACTAAAGTTTGCAATTTTTATGGCGTTTTTTCTTTTTCTACTTTCAAGAGGTGAGAAGAATTTGAAAGATAAAATTACCTTAACAAGTTTATCGAAAGAAAGACATTTTTTTTCAACATTTAAGAAAAATTCACAAGCCGTTTTTATATCTCAGACGCGCTAAAACCTTTATGAAAAAGTCTTAAAATTCCAGCATTAAAATAAAATTCTAAATTATTTTTCATTTTCAAAATTGAAAGGAAATGTAGAGTAATGTATCATTTCTTGCTTGTGTTTAAATTCCTCGATTTGAAAATTCTCCGGGCTTTTGACCATGAGTAAAGTTTTATTCCTTGTTCCATGTTTAGGATTGGGTTTCCGGTTACTTCTAAAGTCTACTTCAACTCTAGGCTTCCAAATGTCTCCGTCTGATCTCCGGAGTTTTGTTTTCTCTCTATATATATATATTATTTACTATTACTTTCTCTTCAATAGGATTAGATAGATTCGCCAATCGGCCGGTTGACACTCCTCCCAGGTCTTTTGAACAGAAGCAGAAGTTTATCCCTTGTTTCATGTTTAGGATTGGGTTTCCTGTTCCTTCTAAAATCTAAATTTATACTTCTCACGTCTCCGAAGGAAATCTGACATTTTTTATTCGCTAATTAAATCTTGACCTCTTGAAATCTAGAATTCATCTTTCATCTTACCATTTCTTACGGTAATACAACCCCACGAAGTAATCCTCTGTCTTGACTGACCCTTGTGCCTTGTATTGGGTGAACAAAAAACAAACAGTAAATAATGCCTAGTATTGTTTAACTCCGAGGCGTCATGATCCTCAATGGCCTCCTACGTCACTAGCAAAGAGGACATGGAGGAGGGGAATGTCATGATCGTGTTTAGATCCTTATTCTCGTTAAATGGGTTGTCCATTTTAATTGTAGCCTCTAATGAAAGTCTACAAATAATATGATTTTTCTTACGGTTACATTACATTGAAATACCTGTTCCCGTACGATTGCCAAAGTTAACCAACGTCGAGCCTGGTCAGTAGCTGGATGGGTGACCCCGAGAGAATACCAGGTGCTGTAAGCTTCGGTGTGCGGGTGGTGTAATGGTCAATGACTCGGAATTGTTAATTGGAGAGCCGAGTTCCAATTCCAGTCGGGTTCAATATATTCACATACAGGCAAATACTCAATGGTTACTTATGTATCGAATCATATTATCGACAATTTTTATTTTGTTTTTCTTTTATGAATAGGTAGGTGTAGATAAATCTTGTCTTGTTTGGATTGAGATTTTTTCCTTCATATTTAGTTATATTTTGATCATTTACGTAGCTTATTGGTTTGGCTATCATCCTTAAAGCTACTTTGTTTTTATTCACAGAAAATATAGGCTATACTGGCCTTGGAAGATCGGGAGACAAAACACGTGAGAGACAGTCCACAGAGAAAGAAATAAACGTTTTCATATCTTCTCAACGAAGCGGCTATGATCTTTCCGACCATTTCGTGTTGTGACACGACCAATCGTTGAACGCTACATATGAAATTCACAATTGTTGAACGCTACATATGCAACTAACAATTCAACCGTTGAACCAATTCAAAGGTGGTCAAAGCCGTATTTTTAAAAAAATAGAAAGAATGAATGAAAAATATAATAATAATACTTTCAGGATGGGGATTTATATTTAATATCAATAAAGGTGGTCATGTCACTATCTATCTATCTATCTATCTATCTATCTATCTATCTATCTATCTATCTATCAGTTGGAGATGTCATGCAAAGTTTAACACAATTTACGGAGAACTAAGATCAATCTGTCTTAAGCACAAACAAAAACGATTACAGTTTGTAGGCAACTGCCACCAAGTGGACAGGGAAATCATCTCATCCTTACTCCTATGGCTTCTTTCTGGAAGTGTCTTCTCACGAAAATTGACTTTCCCAGGCACCATATCTCGGGACTCTGGGTTGGATATTGGGGATTTGGGAACAGCAATACAGGAGCGAACAGTGTGGAAAGGGATTGTTGATGGAGTCCTAACTAACCATAATGAGGTCGGAGGATGATGACGATCATCATTGTTCTGTGCATATCTCTCACGGTCTTTTCATTATCTATCTATCTATCTATCTATCTATCTATCTATCTATCTATCTATCTATCACAGCCTATATTCATCATATATCTATCTATCTATCTATCTATCTATCTATCTATCTATCTATCTATCTATCACAGCCTGTTCATCTCTATCTATCTATCTATCTATCTATCTATCCATCTATCACAGCCTGTTCATCTCTCATATCTATCTATCTATCTATCTATCTATCTATCTATTTCAGTCTGCACATATCTGTCTTGGCATTCTAATATATATCTATCAATTTATCTATCAATCTATCATTCTCAGTCTGTTCATTGTTCTGTGCATATCTCTCACGGTCTTTTCATTATCTATCTATCTATCTATCTATCTATCTATCTATCTATCTATCTATCTATCTATCTATCACAGCCTGTTCATCTCTATCTATCTATCTATCTATCACAGCCTATTCATATCTATCTATCTATCTGTCTTGGCATTCTAATATATATCTATCAATTTATCTATCAATCTATCATTCTCAGTCTGTTCATATCTATCTATCTATCTATCTATCTATCTATCTATCTATCTATCTATCTATCTATCTATCTATTTCAGTCTGCATATATCTGTCTTGGCATTCTAATATATATCTATCAATTTATCTATCAATCCATCTTTCTCAGTTTGCTCAGATCTATCTATCTATCTATCTATCTCGTTATGCTATCTATCTCTCAATTTATTTATCAATCTACCTAACTTTCCCAGTTTGCTCATATCTATCTATCTATCTATCTATCTATCTATCTATCTATCTATCTATCTATCACAACCTGTTCATATCTATCTATCTATCTATCTATCTATCTATCTATCTATCTATCTATCTATTTCAGTCTGCACATATCTATCTTGGCATTCTAATATATATCTATCAATTTATCTATCAATCTATCATTCTCAGTCTGTATCTATCTATCTATCTATCTATCTATCTATCTATCACAACCTGTTCATATCTATCTATCTATCTATCTATCTATCTATCTATTTCAGTCTGCATATATCTGTCTTGGCATTCTAATATATATCTATCAATTTATCTATCAATCCATCTTTCTCAGTTTGCTCAGATCTATCTATCTATCTATCTATCTATCTATCTATCTATCTATCTATCTATCTATCTATCATTCTCAGTTTGCGCATATCTATGTATCTATCTATTGTTTGAGTCTACACGTATCTATCTATCTATGTCAGTTTGCTCATATCTATCTATCTATCTATCTATCTATCTATCTATCTATTATTTCAGTCTGCAGTTATCTATCTCGTTATGCTAATATCTATCTATCATTTATTTATCAATCTACCGAACTTTCTCAGTTTTCTCATTTCTATCTATCTATCTAACTATCTATCTATCAATTTATCTATCAATCTATCATCCTCAGTTTGCTCATATCTATCTATCTATCTATCTATTTATCTATCTATCTATCTATCTATCTATCTATCTATCTCAGTTTGCTCATATCTATCTATCTATCTATTATTTCAGTCTACAGGTATCTATCTATCTCGGTATGCTAATATCTATCTATCATTTATTTATCAATCTACCTAACTTTCACAGTTTTCTCATATCTATCTATCTATATCTATCTATCTATCTATCTATCTATCTATCTATCTATCTATCTATCTCGGTATGCTAATATCTATCTATCAATTTATCTATCAATCTATCATTCTCAGTTTGCTCATATCTATCTATCTATCTATCTATCTATCTATCTATCTATCTATCTATCTATCTATCTATCTCGGCTGTATTTACTCTCTCCCCCAAAAACAGAACTGATTTTCCGTGTTGTCATTTACTACCATTTAATTCCACACTTCCTTTGCTAGAAGCAGCCATTAAGTTATCAGCATGCAAATCATCATCTTGTAAAATCATTTCCCGCTCTTAATTACCCCAAATATCGCAATATCGATGTGAAGAGGACGGTGAAATATCGGTCGTAGAAGTTGGGCGTTCAAACATTTTATATTTGCCCTTTAGCCTTTATATTTGCTGCTTGTAAAATCTATGATGACCTGAATGATCAAGCGTTGTATAAAATGTGCTTATATCCTTCCCTTTAAAACCTACCAAAATAGATCCACTTTCTTTGCGTTCTTCATAGAAAAGTCACATTCCTCTCCCGCTGTAAAGCCAGTAATGATATAAAGTCAGATCGTCAAAGAGTTTAATTAATTTAATTAATTTTTAATCTTTCATCAATTGATATAAATAATTTCAGATTGGCTTTTATGCCTTTGAGACTATATATATATATATATATATATATATATATATATATATATATATGTGTGTGTGTGTGTGTGTGTGTGTGTGTGTGTTTAGGCGGTTAATTCTCTTTTAGTTGTGTCTGACTGAATAGATGATAAACATTATGCATGCTTATTTTTATCATAATCCTTTCATATTCACGAATATTTTCTCTATATTAGAATTAAATAAGGCAAGAAATGCACTGTAACAGTGAGAATCATTTTTATTTCCCAAGTACTTTCCAACTCTTTCTGAGATAATCATCATTGGTGATCAGGAGCCGTTCTAAACTCCGTATATTTGCTTTAATTTCGGTTGAAAATAAAGACAAAAATTGTCCAACATTTGGGTATTTTTATTAAGCTGGTCCTTGATCAAAGCCTTCGAATGACATGAACCATCTTCAGAGTGGTTATACGGACATTTAACAAAGATATTCACCATCGAAGATGATATTTTGTTATGTTGACATAGAAGATTTCAATGCGACGATAACGGTCGCGGAATAGCAGATGCATGTCGTAAGTTCAAGATGCGGTTCTATGACGTCATATCATGCGAGAGGCCGAAATATTTAGAACCATATATCAAGATATGAGCCGAAAGCTTAGATAAAGGAACAATTTAATAAAAATATCCAAATTTTGGACATTTTTTGCCTTTATTTCACCTGAATTTAAAGCAAACATACGAAGTTTAGAACGGCTCCTGATCAGACATAATAGGCATCCATTGTCTTTTATATTTAATATGTTTAAATACATATATTATGACTTATGCCTTTTATAATATGTAAGAAAAATAAGACGTTATTTTATATAAGTAGGCCTTCTGAGCACACAGACACAAACACACACACACACACAAACACACACACACACACACACACACACACACACACACACACACACATATATATATATATATATATATGTATATTCCATGATAAGAGGACAGAGTGATTGTTCGAGGGTCCGTCTACAAAACTTGACAGTCGGGATGCTGAACTTAACAGCAATCGGGTAAGGACAAATTATATATATATATATATATATATATATATATATATATATATAAATCAATGGAAGAAATTCCAGAGATAACAACAGAAAGAATTATATTAATGAGCCTAGTAATATTGGTAATATTTGCTGCATATTTAAACATATATTATTCAATATAAGAGACAATGAATGTCTATTATGTTTGATCATGAGCCCATCTAATGTTCGAATATTTGTTTCAATTTGTGGTGACAATAAAGACAAAAATTGTCGAATATTTGGATATTTTAATTAATTTGGTCCTAAACTTTATAAATAAAAATTTTATACATATATATATATATATATATATATATATATATATATGAAGAAAATATACGGAAAAAACAAACAAAATCTTTATATGCAATTATGCTGTTTTAAATGTTAATATAATGTTAACAGCATAATTGCATATATGATTTTTGTTTGTTTTTTTCCGTATATTTTCTTTCATATATATATATATATATATGATCTGCTGCCAAAATACATTGAATATATATATATATATATATATATATATATATATATATATATATATATATATATATATATATGTGTATATGAATTTAGTATATATATATATATA